TCTTGTTTTACTTATAATTTATTAAACAAAAATTGTGACACAGGGAGTAAGAAAATTTATAGAAATTTCTGTCAAAACTTTTACGTATGGACATTTACTGACACATACATATCTACATACATTTGTATGTCTATCCATTCATTAGGCTCAATGGTTTTGTTTATTATCCATTGATACCATGCACTTTATCAATTCGCGAAAAATAACTTCTTACAAATAAACAAATTTGATGCCAATTATTTCATATATTCGTGCATATATGTACCATATATTTGTTAAAAGGGCATAAATAACAAGTATGCTTTGCTCCACGCAATTTGGTTGTGATAAGAAACGATTTAGCAAATCGCTAGAAAACCACTTTAACGCCATTAATTGCCTAATAAACAACAATAAATGCATACATACGGTACATACACACATACATATGTATTTACGATATGCATTTGGGAAAGTTTACACAGTTGCTGTGCGAAAAACGAAATTTACCAAATTATTTACGGAATTTTGGCGCAGACTGTACATATCCAAAACAATTGCTCGTCAACAATAAATCAATTACCATTCGAGTAATTGAATAGCCAAATCTCACGTGAGCAAGGTGAGTAGCTAATGCTTAATGTTATTGCATCAATTACCGCTATGTTTTTTGTTGTAACGATGGTTTGTTGTTGTATTTACTTAAGTACTTATGTGTGAAGGTGTACGAGTAGTACTGTCCAATATAAAAGCCGATAAATGAATATAAGGTGCAAAAGTGCATATGTCTTTATGTGCATATGGCATTTGGTATACGAGGTGTGTTCAAAAAGTATCGCGAATTTTGAATTTTCGCGGGTTACGTATATTCGAATTTCGAATTTTTTGTGGCGTTATGTTGGTACTCATGTCTCTCACTTATGCCGAATGAATGTTCATTTAATTGTTGACAGCTGCTTTGTTTGCACGTGTTTTGGATCGTCTTCGATTTTTACCTATTCAAAAAAATGGATCAAAGAACCTGTATCAAATTTTGTGTGAAAAACGAAACTAAGTGCGCGGATGCATTCCGAATGTTGACTGTGGCATACGGAGAAGCTACCTTGGACCGAAGCAACGTTTATCGGTGGTACAAAATGTTCTCAGAACGCTGAGAAGATGTGACAAAAATTGGCTTTTGCACCACGATAACGCCCCTGCTCACACGTTGTTGCTTGTGCGCGACTTTTTGGCCAAAAACAACACACCAATGACGCCGCAGCCACCGTATTCCCCAGATCTGGCCCCCTGTGACTTTTTCTTGTTCCCTAAACTGAAGAGGCCCATGAAAGSACGACGTTACGCTTCTCTTGMCGRGATAAAGACGGCATCGAAGGAGGAGCTGAAGAAGATAAAAAAACGTGATTTTTTGAAGTGCTTCGAAGATTGGAAAAACCGCTGGCACAAGTGTATAATATCTCATGAGGATTACTTTGAAGGGGACAAAATTGATATTCATGAATAAATAAATAATTTTGAAAAAACACAAAATTCGCGATACTTTTTGAACACACCTCGTATTATGCAAATGGATAAGCCGTTATTTGTCAATTACAATACATCAATCAGTGCAAATATAGTCATAAAATGCGTTTATATGCCGTTTGGTGTTAGTGATTTGTTGTTGTTAGTGATTTTCAAGTGCTACAAATGTTGGCTAAAGAAATTTGTCAATATGGAGTGGCCACTGGCAACAGCAGGTGGATATATTTATAGCTTGATTGTGTCGTGTTTGCGCGCAAATCGCAGCCAACAGCGATTTTTCGCGCTTAAATACAGAAATTATGGCAAACGCACGCTTGGCATGATCAATATCACAATATTTCAAGCTAATAATAACAGCAATAATAAAGCGGTATTTATTTAAGTGTAGAAAATATGGCACAAAACACGCGCGGTAAGTGATTTTGCCTAAAGTGCGATTTGCGCGATTTGCGCACAAAAAGTGGAGTAAATATGCCTTAAACGATTTGCATTTTCATACATACATACAAACATTTGTGTGTGTGTGTTTAAAATTAGAAGAAGTTAATTTATTATTGAAGCGAATAACATTTATTGTGCCTTATTTATTTGTGCAACGAACTCTAAGTAAGCGAACACACGTCTGTACGGACGCACAAACAGACAGACGGTGAGAATTCGCATTGACGAACACAACCTCCCACCGGATAATAATAAACGCGCTAACACGCATCGCAAACGAACCGCTAAATCATTTGAAAATATTCTAATCATGCGATTTGGAAATACACAATAACAACAACAAGGTTGTTATCATTTATAGTGTTTAGCAAATGTAAAGCAACAAGTACTAAGTAAAGTGATTTGTACATCGGTACTATGTAAACACATTAGGGTGCTTCAAAAAATTATTAATTTTTTTTTTTTACTCTTTGAAGTGTAGAACACCAAACAAAAAAAAAACACTATAAAGTTATCTAAAGGCGGACTTCAGCTCCGTTTTGAAAAAAAAAAAAAATAATCTTAGCCGATAAGCACCAGGTTATCAACAGTTCTTTCGCTTTAAAAAAAAGAAAATCCCGATCGATTCAACACCGGGGTTAGAATACCTTTTTGAGTGAGGGGATTTTAATTTTGGTTTTTTTTTATACTCAGGGGATTTTTTGTTTGATGAATGAACTTCTGAGGGTTTGAGCTTGTGCCATATTTAACATGGGAAAACTACAGCTTAGACTTTTAGCATTACTAGACTTTAAGTAAAAATATATTTGCAAGCTATTTCTCGAAATATCTTAATTTGGTAATTTAAGGTAGACAAGCCATATTTAAATCCACGGAATTTGAATATTTTTATCCGGTATCGAAACTTTATAAAACTATATTTTGTAAATATCTTCAAAATAACGACATATCATCATGTTAGGCATAAGGCAACCTTTTAGGTTGCTGTACGACTGGAATATATTTCAAGCTAAGGTCTTTACTTTAGCAGAAGCTGCGGAACTGACCTCTAAAGCACCTGCAATCAATATCAGAGCCAACATCCACAAATGCACGGGAAAAAAAAGTACAAAAGTCATGTGCAAAACGGTAGAGCGGTAGTATATAGCATTCCTATTGGCACTCGATAGAAGAGACTGTAGGAGCACGATTGGAATACTAACTGGTCATTGTCTCGTGGCGTCACACGCCCGCTAGATGGGGCTGACAGATCGAGAAACTGCTGGTAATACCTAGAGCAGGGCACCAGGAAAAGCAATCGCGTCAAGTGCAGGCATCTTAGAGTGAACTCCATCTGGTATCGCAAAAAACCAAACTGCTCTCTGCATGGCTTATTAGCCTACCAGATTTGCCTAAACTAACCTAACCTAATTATGTATCTTACAGACCAATAGGTATCATACTATTTTAATATATATGGCAGATGCCATCGATAATGTCCGTAGAAGTATTATTTTGTGGATCGCGAGAATTCAAATTATAGAACCATCGTTGTATACAAAGCTTTTTTAAGTATTAACGCTGCGTTGTTGTTGTTCGATCTTAGTAACCCACTAGGTTAGGTTAGGTTTGGTTAAGGGATCGATCTTAACCGTGGTCTCATTTGGATCCGTTTTGATACCTAAAACTCCTATGTAATTGATCATAAAGCTCTCACAAATCGACACAAATTTGTTGATACGGCTAATTTCAGTTTTGACTAAGTCTCTTAGTAGGTAAGACCATCAAGATTTTTCAACCTCACTCTCGCAGAAGCTTGATAATGGCGGAGAAAGTGCTTGACCTTCTCTATACAACTTTGACAACTAGACGTAGTAAGATCAAGTAATTTCTTATAATAACTGTCATAATTTGGAAGGCAATGACAAACATACGAGTGCAATTCTACAATGAAAAGACTTCTCGTAAATCCAATATCTGTGGGAACGGGAGGGATAGCTGGAGGAGGCTTTAACAAATTTCGCAACCAATATCCCGCTAAAGCTACTCAGTTGTTTAAAATTATATCTAATATTGTTTGTCAAAAAAGTCTTGCGGTATTTTCGCTAGTTGGCGCTGAGAGCGCGTATTTCTAGTTTTATTCGTCGCAGCGGGTCATGCTATGCTTTTTTGGAAAGCTCGCGCTAACACGTGTTTGATTGATTGTCGTTTCTTTTAAGTCGTTCGTGAGTTATAGCGTCGCAAACATGGAGCAAAATAAAGAGAAAATATGGCAAATTTTACAGTACTACTACGATAAAGGCAAAAATGCATCTCAAGCAGCCAATAACATTTGTGCAGTTTATGGACCCGATACAGTTTCCATTTCCACCGCACAACGATGGTTTCAACGTTTTTGTTCTGGTGTAGAGGTCGAAAGATGCACCACGCTCTGAAGGGTCTGTCGTCGCAAATAGCGATAAAACCGCTGAATTGGTCGAAAGAGACCGGCATAGTAGCAGCCGTAGCATCGGTCAAGAGCTGGGCATGAGTCATTGAAAAAAATTTTATGAACAATTGAAAATTCAATAAAAATACCGCAAGACTTTTTTGACAATCTATTATATCAGCATTTTCATCCCCACACCAATATTTTCAACTATATATCAATCATTAATGGCAATTAAGGATTTCTGAACAAAAGCCTGATTTTCAAAACAACATCGATCAATTTATGGTTAATTAATTATAAATTAAAATAATCCAACACTTTGAGAAGTATATTTACAAATCCATATGACATAATTTCGAAGTGCAATTGTAGTGATTGATCGAGAGATTGCTATACTCTAATACTAATGGTATATATTTATTAATTTAATTTGTTAAACATCTAATGTGTATTAAAAAAAGTAATTTTCTTAAGCAAATCAACTAAGCAAATATTTGTATTTATAGAATACACGCGCAGGGAAGTGAACAATCGTCATCATGGTCACTCTACGCCACGTGCACCCATAGATACAACAAATTTTCTTAAACAAAAAACCGTAAACTGCATAAACTCTAATTATTTCCATTTATTTGTATCTTTACAGTTGGCCACCCGCTCAATCGAGCCCTCTTTCGGTCTGCTTTTCGGCGATTTACTACGCGATCTCGAAGTCGGCACCACCGGCGCTGCCATTATAATGAGCACACTCGATGTGTGCATGAATTTCTCAGGTCTCTTCGTCGGTCCACTCTTGAAGGAGTTCTCCTACCGCAAAGTGGCTATCGCCGGCTCACTGCTCTGTGGCATTGGTTTGGCGGCCACCTCACCCGCAGCCAGCATGGCACACATACTCAGTACGTACAGTGTGATTAACGGTATTGGTGTCGGTCTGTCAACGTCAGCTGCTTTTGTCGCGCTCAATCACTACTTCAAGTATAAACGTGGTCAAGCTGTGGGTCTCTCTATGGCCGGCACTGCGTTAGGTATGCTGATCATGCCACAGTTGGTACGCATGTTACTCGAAGCTTTTGGTTTTCGTGGCGCTGTGTTGATGTTGGCCGGCATCGCGTTGAATTCGACAGTTGGTGCTGTGCTCTTACAACCCGCCAAATGGCATATGATCGATGAGGTGATTGATGAGGAACTGATGACAGTGCCAGTGTCACCGCCTACGCCGGATGTGAAGGTCATACGTGAGGATGCCGCGGAAGAAGATTCGCTGCCCGAATTGAATACTCTACTCTTTCCCAAACAGCAATATATGCGTAAGAATTACTCAGAAATGGCGATGAATACGATGAACGGTACCCGTGTGGGTATGCCTAAGCGTCCCACCTTCCCGCGCATCATGTCACTAGCTGGTGTGCAATCGGCGGTTAATAACAGCCAGTCACATGGCGATGTAAATGCGACATTGCGTAACCGCAAACATTCAGTCACGTCAAATCTTTCCTACATGGACTTCACCGGTTCCATATTGCAAGTGCATATGAATGTGGGTGACGAAGAGTTCGAACGTAATGATCGTGAGCTGAAGCGTGTCAACACCGCGGCGAGCGGCATGGCGAATGCACATCGTGACTCTTTTATAAAAATGCGGCCAACAGAGACTGAAAAGAATGAAGAATTAGCAGCGAAGGAGGCGGAGAAGAAACCAGGTTTCTGGCGTCGTTTCGCAGATCTCATGGATGTGGACTTATTACGTGATAAAAAATTTTTAAATATACTTTTCGGTTTGTCGATCTTCTATGTGGGCGAGATGAATTTCAAAATGGTCACACCATTCTTTTTCGCCAATCTGGGCTACAATAAGACAGATGTAGCTTTCTGTTTGTCGATAACAGCAATTACAGATATTGCAGCCCGTATAATACTCCCGCCTATCTTCGATCGTACAACCATCAAGAAGCGTACGGTGTTCCTAGTATCGATCATCTTTGTGGGCATAACGCGTTCGAGTAAGTAAAAGTTTTTGATATCTAATTCTGATACTTCATCGAGTCCCTGGAACTGCGAAGCCTCTAGATATCTAAGCCGAGACAAGGGTGAACATAAGCAGAGCAGGTGTTTCAGGATCTCTTTCACGACTACTTCTTTAAATTAAAAATGTCCATACGGTTCGCATGTGATGCCAGTAGATTGTTCCCTGTGACTAGGCCGACAACCGTCCTGCAGGCTTTTCGAGACTGTATTAGTAGAAAGCTTGAGTGTTTTCTTTCCGCTCCATTGCACATAATTTTGGCGATTATGTATGCTCCTAAGGCATTTCATCTCACCCTGATCCATCTTTCTGTCCTTTCGGAAATTTTGTTGAGTTGCACCTATGGCAATCTCATCAGATATTTATTTTCTCCTTGTGACCTGGAGCTCTGTATATTGCAGCCTGATCTTTCTGATACGTCACTATTTCGCAGGCCTCTCTGCTGCTAAGGACATTCTCTGAGAATCGCAAATTTTTTTATAATTTAAAACTGCTTTCTATTTAAATTGTAATCCTCTTCATGTCCTCTTCATTTCAGTAATGGCTGAACAAACCGAATGGACTTCATTAATGGTTTGGCTATCCATTTGCGGTTTCTTCCGTGGCTCTGCATTGGCGAACTTCACACTCACCGTTTCCGAATATTGTTCGCTGGAGAAATTACCCTCTGCCTTCGGTTGGCATTTGGTTGGCAAAGCCGTATTTGTCATCTGTCTGGGGCCGCTGATCGGTGAGTATGCTTTGCATTCATAATTGGTTTCTTGTAAACAGGTTTATTTACTAACTATTATTTTTAATTCTTTGGCAGGTCTGATTCGTGACGTCACCACCAGTTATCCCATCTGCATACACGCACAAACAGTTTGCATATTTCTTTGTGTAATCGCCTGGGCGATCGAGTATTTGATCACATATTTGAAAGAGAAAAAATCGAATGGGGGCATCAATGCCACAATCGGACCCGAGACCAACATCAAACACTAACACGTGCTGAATTTCGTGAGAAAGGGATATTTTTATAAAAAAATTTTCGTGAAACTTACACTATGATATACACACACACATATATATACTTATACATTTAAGTAGTTAGCTATATATAATATTATTTACATACATATTTATGTATGTATGTATATTGTTGGAATATATGTACTTATGCAGTGAGAGAATAAAATACTTACATAACTGCATGTATGCCAGTTAATGTTTAATTATAAATTACAACAAAAACAAAAACCCAGCTTACAGCTCGTAAATAAATGATGAATGAAGTAGTATATGAAGACAGAGCCGAGTGCATACGAGAAATGTGCGATTTCCAATGTGATAGTTCAAATTATGCTTATAGATCGTAAGGCTAGAGATACGACGCGTGCGTTTAACAGTGTTACACTGTAACTGTAGTCTATTTTATACAATTTTCTAGCGAACACATGAACCCATAGAGCCAAACGACACATAAAAAAGAGGTCAAAGTTAAAACAAAGAAAAAATACCGTGAAACATTATCGTATTGAATTGAATTTGAAACGGCAAAAGAGTTTGAAGAAAAAAGGAGGAAAGAGGAAGGAATAACAAAAATCGGAAGTATTACTTATGTGTGTGAAAAATTAATAACTAAGCAAAACTAATATCATTTTACTAATTATTTTCATGGTTCTACGTTTATGTATGACTTCTTAAGCGACTTTCGATATACTTAGTTAATTACGAAATCTAGTGGATTATGTAAATAGGCATTATTAGCAATTAGTATAATTAGTTAAGTTTTCTGTCGTTAAAAAAAATACTTTCCTTTTTTTGCTTTAAGAGTATATATTTTCTGCTTTCAATATATACTTGCATTAAAATATATAAATTTTGCTATTTCTTGTTTAAATAATTTTTTTACTTTGTTAATTTTTTTTTTTTTAATTATTCTTCTTTTTTTCAAATTAGCAACTAGTTAAAAATTTTTATAGTACAAAATTGAACATTTGTACTTTCATACTTTTTAATTAAGTAAAAAAAAAAAGTGTAGTGGTACCTAAACCGTTCCAACTTAAAACAAACTGTTGACATAACTCAAGTAGAACAGACTTAATAACGGAATAACATACTTTTATTTTCAATGAAAAATAATTATTTGCCAGTACTTATACAAAAAGAAATATTAATTTTGTAAATTTTAATTTAAAAACTCTGAATGATATATTGTAAATAAATATGTACACTGTAAATATTAACAAGCAAATTAAAAAAAAAAAAAAAAATTAAAATATATATATACTATATTTATATAATAAGATTAAAATATTTAGAGTTCATTATTTTTCAAAMTTTTTTAGGTAAGTATTATSTAAGCCTACTAATAAGAAAAATTGAAATTGAATTGGTATTGAACGATTATACCACTTTAAAGAGGTATCCGCGAGACTATCTCTCGTACGAATTCAGAGCGATAACTTCTAACTAACTTTCTAACTTTTACTGTAATTTTTTAACCAGAAGGAAAGGTAAATGGAAAACAAGCTATAATATAATCTGACAAAAACAGATCCTAACAGTTTTGAAAACATTTGTCACCCCACTCATTATGTTTCAGCCCCGTTGAAACAGCATGTTTTCTGGACGCTGATGACAACTTATCTGATTCTTACCACCATAACAGGGACTAGAAAACCGTTACATCAACAACAACAAYAACGAGAACAAAATCAATATCAGTTTTGAGATTACAAATCTTGGAAAAATAGTCATGCACTCAAAATTTTGTGATTGTGACGATAAAAAAACCCCAAATCCTAGAGATCCATTAGAAAAAAATAAAGTTTATTTTGAAAAATGTAAGATTCTCCTTCAAAAAGTTATACGGAAGTCATATTTCCCTCCTTCAAATTATCTCTGTGATTAAAAAATAAATACATAAAAAATAAATGTGCGATTGCAATAGAAAAATGCTGGTCGAAAGAAAATCAAATTTCCTCTTCAGAGTAGCATAAAAAATTGAAATTGTTATCAAAAATCTCAATTCTTCGATCATCTGACAAATATATCTGAGAAGGTCGAGCGAAAATTTCAAGTTCTTCGGTCCAACTGTTTCGAAGAAATTTTTTCAGAGACTCTGAAAACTCTGACCTCTGATAGTTAAAAATTGGGTACATTTTAGAATAGCATCCCCCGATTTCGGGGTTATAATAATTATGTACGCATAGAGGAGGTGCTCCGGATCAAGAAAATCCGCTGACTTATGGTTTGTGAAATTTTTGCATTTAAAGCTCAAAAATTCAACTATTTAAAACGCGTGGTTTCTCGATTCATAATGAATTTTGTTTCTAACCATTCTCACTTTTTGTTCATTCAACTGACATACATTATTTAAAACTTTAGCACAACGAAAAAATTGCCTTAAGTTTACAAAATTTTTTATGTACTCAATTTAAAATTCGTCTACCACGTAAATATTACCGCTGCAATACGTTATGTTATATCTTCTAACGTTTTTTTCATTCACTGGGTTCACTTGTTTTCGTAGTGGATACTGCTTACTAAGCAACCCTGCACAATGTTTTCATTGAACTGTCAACTGGGAAAGTCGCCAGCACAGCTGCTACATTTTTACATTTTTGGAATAATTACAAGAATTTAACTAATTTTTACACAAAGGAATTGTTAAAATGGTGATACAACAAGTAAAAACAGTGCTATTAAACATAATGAAGCTATTAAGACGAATGATGTGCTGTTTCTCATTTGGGCGGCGACGTAAACCCAGTTTTTCAGAGCCCATGGAAATAAAAATTGTTGTTGATGGGGGACAAACGACATTAGCGGTGGGAGCGCAGTCGCCGAATACTACACGGCTATCGCAAACACAACACGTAAATATAGACATAAACACATATCTGTACAATTTGGGTTTATGGTTAAAAACATACACAATTCTACGTGCAGGTGGAAAGAGACTGGAATACTTGGGATGATAGTCCGCGTACGGTCACTGAGCATATTGAACAGTATCGACAGAGGCTAGCTAAACCGCCAACGCCACCGCCAGCAGAGCAAGAACCCGATTTCTTCACAGTAATAAAAATATGCGTGTATATATGTTTGAAATAAATTTCTACATTAATATTTTAATTGATTTGAAGGAATTAACACCCGTCATAAAACCTCAACCAAAGTACTACCTCGGTGACGATAACACTGATAAAGCAAATTTTTCAAGATTAGAAGCTAAAACCGACGTGCCAATAACAATGAATGTAAATATTACAAGCAAAAACTATGTAGAAATCTATTTAAATGGCATTCTTATCATTTTCAGGCTGATCTTGAAGACTGGGTAGACGATTCACTCGATGGCGGCTGGGATGAACTAGACACGGAGCAAACTAAGCAACTAATACGTGAAAATCGCCGACAAATGCGTCAACAACGTCAACAGAAAAGCTCCAAAACTGCCGGAATTGAAACTTCACAAATGGGACGTGGAGCCCAGCATAGTCGTACATAGTATAGGTGGTCATCGCGAGATCACTACGATACGATACATACACTGGCTTAAGGAGTTTGAGTGCAATTTTGAGTGAATGTTTTATTTTTTAATTGGTTTGGTAAATATGCCGTTGTAAATACGCTATTGGCAGATACAAACGCACGTAATTCTAAAAACAAATTAAAATTGCATGTTTGATTATGATTTTATGACTGCTTTGTTTTAGTAAATTTATGCATAAGGAATTGAAATGTAAAGAATTGAAAATTAATTCAATTACATTCCTAAAAGAAAGTGCGATTTCGGTTTAATTTTGAAAAATAATTGCACTAAAGATAAATATTGGAAGGCATGCGAATATTCTAAACATTGAACGTGAAAGTGTTTATCAGTTTATATGAATATGTCTTGGATAAACATAAGTCTTAAGTGTTAAATGTTATTATAGTTTGTTGTACAAACCAATTTTCCAAAACTAGTACCATGTGTTATAAATGTTTATTAAATTAAAATTTAGGCTAAATAAAAATTTTAATATATTTAAGCGAATAAAAGTATTTTGAGTTAAAAATGGGATTTTCTTGTTTCTGTCGTTGTAGCGGTTTTGGTTTGGATAATGTTGCCGAGAAAAATTGAATGTCGGGGAAATGGAAAATGTTTTCAGCTGTATTAGCTACATATGTCTGTACATACTAATAGCTTTTTTAAGCTTACTCCGAAATCCTATGAAATGGAAGGGGCCTATTCCAGGCATATTTGTGGCAGGTGTGGTATATGTACATACATACCTACTATACATATATACAAATAATTTTTTCGTTTTGTACATCTGATTTCGGAAATGCGAAATGTTGTCACCCTTACATCTGTATTGGCTGTTTGCATGTACAACTGCCTGCCTCAAAACGGTTTCCTGAATTCGGTGTGAACTGAAGTGTGGCGGCCTGCGGTTTCAATGCAATAAATAAAATGACGACAAAAATAGCCGGTAGTGCAACTATTGACTCGGTCTAAAAAATCTTTGAAATTTTCGACAGTACACTGCCTTTATAAAAGCAGAAAGTGTTGATAAAATTTCTGCATTCACTTTTGGATAGCAGATAGCAATGGTAGGTGTTTTTTTTACAGATATGCGGTGACAAAATTATATATATTCTCAAATATTACAGTTACACTTACCTTTGTTGATGATTTTACGGTTTTCCACGTTAGCGCTACCTTTATGTACCGGTCAAGCATTGCAGCCGCATACACAACAAAATATATGGGAATCATTTGCACCGGGCGAACTTTTACGTCTTTTAGAACACTCCACTTACACAATACCGTTTAAATATAACGCAATAGCACAACGGCGGTCAGATGAGAATGCAGCAACACCGGAAAAAACTATTTATTCAACACCGAGGGAAATACACAAGCGTCCCAATACATCGCCAGCAACATCAACCGATAATACATATAGTGCGGAAGATCAATTAAATGCACCATCAAGCGCCGAGTTCAATTATGACCAGGCTTATGAAGATTTCGTACGCGAATATTTTGGCGATAAACTAGCAGAAGAGAGCGATTCAAATGAGAAGAATGAAGAAGAAGAAGAAGCACTTGAAGGGGAGGAAAGTGAAGAATCGGAACAATTGGAAACCGAACACAATTCTTCAGCGGAAACGGAACTTTTGACAGGGGAAACGAAAAAACGCACACAACGTAGGACAAAAGAAAAATGCCGGCACGTCAAAAAGCACAAGCAAAATTGTATGGTTTGCGAAAATGCTCACACGGGCGAAAAATCTGAAACATGCTCTTTTTCGCGTGCAAGTGAACCGCAGCGATATGCTTTCCAAAAAGAAACAAGCTACAAAAAACAACGCCATGATGATGAGCCCTCCTCGCAAAGCGAAGAACAAACATCTTCCGAAGAAGCAGAAGTAGCGGAAGCAGATACAATTGTCAAAAAAGTTGACAATAGAGATTTTGTGAGCAAACGCGGCAACGAGAAACCGCCAAAAGATAGTAGCACTTGCTTACAATTAGTGAAGCGTGGAAAGATTTGCTATCAGTGTGTGGATGGTGACGGCACATCCACCAAATGTTATGTGCCCGCGAAAACGAGCAACGGCAGCAATAATAGGCAGCGTCCGGCCAAAGGTAACGAGCACAAAGTGCAAAAAGCTCAGCAGCGTATTTACAAACGAACAATTTCATATTCTTTTGAGAAGGGTACCAATGGCACTATGGAAAATGCCACACCAATTGAAGCGTCGCAGTTGGAAAATACAACTGCCACAATAAGCACACCACATTTGAAGGAGAAGATATTCATCAAGGTGATAAAGCAAAATGAAACCATAGCGGAATAATTTTCGAAAATATTTTCTATACATCAAAGTGTATTCGCGGTGTATATATGCATTTGTGCGCTTATGCAAACTGTTATGCACATATTTTATTTTGTAATATTACATACACTTTTTCTGTAAAAGGAAACAGCACTTCTTTTGCTTATTGACAAAATACCGTCTTCACTGCAGTGTAAAAGCTGATTACTTGCAGATCGAAATAACACAACACTTTATACACTATAAGCACATATCACTATCTACACTATAACCACATATCACATGAACATTTTAACACATTTTTTATTCACTAATGATAATTTGTAATTGATTTATTGTGCGAAAATTATTATTCATAAATTTAGCGAATAAAACTGACGCCGCGAAAACTAACTGTTCACTAAATGTCAAATGCAAATGGTGGGTAAATAAAGCCCGTTAACAGGGTTGATAGACAATAACAAAATAGTGTGAATGAAGAACGCACATACATACATGCAAAATATACTTCCATGTGTGAACATTTGCAACTGTAAATATGTGTGTATGTGCATGCATGTCATTTTTAAATTTATATGCAAATAAGACTATTTCAATTTTTCTTAATATAGTTCACATTTTCTCAATTCTTTGTTATTACCGTCGAAAGTTTTACATATGTATATATAAATACCCTTGACTAGGAAACATTTTAGGACACATTTTCTCAATTCTTTGTTATTACCGTCGAAAGTTTTACATATGTATATATAAATACCCTTGACTAGGAAATCATTTCAATTTTTTTGCACACAATTATTTTAACAGCTTTTTGTTTGATAGCAAGAGCTTATTATTATTATTCAACTAGTATATAACATCTCTGGTTAACGACATAAAAACGCCGTTAAAGGTCTGGGAGAAGTTCAAATAAATTTATGAAACGAGAAAAAACGTTAAAGCAAAAATTATACTATAATACCCCTACAAAAATTTGATTTTGATCGGCAGTTCGTATATTGTTGCCTTGGCCAATAATTTTCTTGAATACATATTTTCAAATAAATAATTTTTCCATATAAAGACATTGTTTTTGAGCGTTCAGTTTGTATGGAAGCTATATGCGATATCGGTGCCCGACAACTGTGTAGCTCATAAATAGAAAAGGACGAGTATACAGTCGGACGAACATGGCTAAATCGCCTTCGGCACTTTATGCTGATCATTTATTATTATATTTCTCCGACGTTTCCTTCTGGGTGTTCTTCGTTCCAAGCTTAATATTCAGTGTTTAAGGTATAAAAAGGAGAATATCGAATCTACAACAGTTACTTGGTGATGACCGTTGTGTACGGGGAACTTTTCAATAATTTTTCAAAGTCTTTAATTTAGTTAGAGGTTATGTTTTTGCATAAATTATAAGATAAGATTTTCCAAAATAATTTTTGACACATACGTTTGTTACCATTGCCTTTTAATGTAAAACTTCGAAATATGTAAAAATAAACCTTTATTTATAAAATAAGGTTATCATTATATCATAGTACAATAATAATGTCTTTCCTCTTCATAATCATACTCTGCATAGGGCAAATTGGCTGATAGCGACATGTTGCAAACTATGCCCATTTGCACACTTTCTAAAAACAAAATATGTTTGCATTTTTGTCAAAGTTAAATAAATTAATAAATTACAATACATAGCGTATATAGTATGTAAGTTATTTAAGTTTTGTGTTACAAGACGAAATTAATAATTTTAGTTTTGTATTTAGGTAAGAATGTATATAAATTGCTTAATGCCATACATTTTCTCATGTATTTATAATTCCAGCCGTACTATGTTAATGTTATTATTGCTGAACTGAATGATAGTTGCATTTACTTAATAATTCTCTTAATGCATCTTTCGTTTCAGCATTATGGGTTAGTGCTTATCGATGCTTACTTTATATAAAATTATTTATATATATATAAATACATATATATATATATTTATTTGTTTACAATTTTGCTGCTTATGTAATATATGTTTGTAAATAGAAATTGTGGCCGCCATTAATTGATCATTAGTTACTGTTTGTATTATTAATGTTGTTACTGTTTGTGTTGTTGTGGCTGTTTGTATTGTTGATGGTAACATCATTCACAATGGCGATTGGTTCTTGATTCTGATTTGGCACACTATCCATATTGGGTATGTAGTCCAACGCCATCATGCAGGCGAAGACGGTCATAACCATTTTGGGTTTCACTTCCGTTATATCTTCGGGCAGAGCGTAAACGCGTGCACCAATTTTACGTGCCATCGAAATAGCATATTTAGCATTGGCCAAGTTGTCCTAAAGACAAAATGAGTAAATATATATTGTAATATATGTATAAGTTTTGATTTGCATTCGCACAAACCTCTTCAGTACCGCCAGTTCGCACCAAGTCATAGTTTATGCTACCCTCCTTAATGGAATCAATCAAATCGATCACAATTTTACCATCGGCAATGGCTGAGTCGTTGAAATTCTTCAAGCTAGATGTTTTGCCGGCGGCAGACAGTTTGCTGTTGACCCACTGCACGATCTCCTTCTCGATTATGGGACTGCCGGTGTTGGCCAAACGCGATAGAATAGACAAAGTGTAGGCACGCATCAGTTGCCAAATCAGCGCTATACATTGAGAGAAGAATATATAATTTAATGGAAATTATTTGTAATTTTTTGTTTTTTTGTTAACGACTTCAAGTTTTACACACCCAAAGTTAGTGTAGCATTTCCATCGTTCAAATCTTGGCCGGCAATACCGACAAGCGAAAATTTCAGCTGTTTGCCCAAATCCACAGCATAATTGCAATTTTCCAATTTCTCCATGAATTTGCGTAGGGGCGAGAAGCGTTTGTGCACACGCTGCCAATGCACGATACCTGGCTTGATGATGTCGAACAGCTGAAAGATGACCAAGCCGTCAGCAAGATCCGAATACAACCAGTTGACATGTGGGGCAACGCCCATTGAATTCATCCAGTTTCTGTAAGCTATTTAATAATAGTAAGATTAGTTGCTAAACATTTTACAAAATTTATTCTAAACAAGATTAGAAATTTTAATGTCGACAACATCTACAACATCTACAATGCCAACAATACTTACTTTTCTCTTCGCGTGTCTCCTCGATCGACTCTAAGCCATCGATTTGTTCCGGCCTATCGAGACCGGGATGATTGTTGAACAGGTTCGCAACGAAGGCCAAATTCAACTTGTAGACCCCATTGACAACGTCCTGCGGTGTCAAGAAGCTGCGACAGTTTAATTTGGCCGCCTGCTGCAACATAATCTCCGCGCGTGATGTCAGATCCGACTCGCGCAACGCCTCCAAATTGACATCGACATCGTTACCGGCAATCTGCTTCAGCAAATGTGAATAGATTTCGGAGTCTACAATGTCGGACTGGAAATTGGTGCAGCGGCGTGAAATGCCAGCACGCTCCAAATGATGGTTGACCCAACGCAATAGTATGGCTTCCGGTGATAATTTCATCAAATCTTCCAAACGTTCGTTGTCGAAGAGCAGACCCGCCAAGCCGGGACAGCTGTCGAGCGTGATGTGACTGAAGAGACCAATACGGATGATTTGCCACAACAAGCCCAAAACCAAATGTGGCTTGCCTTTGGCCAAATCGTGTGCGTCGATATTGACTATGTTGCAACCAATCGCTTGCGATGAAACTAGCGCCAGCGTCAAGTTTTCAAATTCGCGATAAACAGTTAAATTCCTCTTGTTGATGGCACGCTCATCGATCGTATCCGGGCAGGAATGATTGATAATCTTGCACAGTAAGATACCATCCTTAATTGCTTGGTACAGATGTTTGCCCTCGGCATCGATGGGTAGCAAATGCTTCAGATCTTGATCATAACCTAAATTTGAATTTATCCAATCGGAGAAGGCAAGTTGCTCTTCAAGACGCACTGAGTGCGTGGTGCCTTCGGACGATATGCTCGACATGCCACCCAACGTTTCCAGGTTCTCCTTTTTCGAGACGACGGTTTTGAAGGTGCTTGCCACATCTTTGGATTTGAGATCGAGGCAGAGATTTTCGAATTCCTCGATATTAAGTTTGCCCTGATGTGATGTGCGTTGCTTATTCTGAAATTCATCGATCATCTCGCGCACCTGGTAGCCAGGCAATTTGAAACCGACCTGATCCAAAGCGTCCTTCAACTCGCTCAAATCGATGAAGCCATCTTTGTTGGCATCGATCTATTTATAAAGAGTAAAAATAAATGAAGTTAATTTCATGAATACGTACATACATATGTATATGTAAATAAATTATAGAAACGTGAATACTGTCACTGATTTGACAGCAAGGAAACGCGCTCAGCGGAATGGGCTATCCAAAAAATGAATCAAAGCATTAAATGACATGAGTCATACAGTTTTAGCCTTCGAAATATTCAATTTACATGCTCGTGACGAATCGGCGTCGCGGCCAACGTCAGCGCTGCCGTTTGATCCCCTCCGGTTGCGGGTGATTTCAGCGCGCAATCGATTTTAAGCATTCGTATATTTCTTTTTATGTATTTATGCACATAGGTCAGCTTCGCCAGCACGTAAATCACCCATTCGACATGTACATAAACAGCAACAACATTGCCAAGCAAATATAATGAAATATAATACAATAAACACCAAATTCGACGCAGCTGTGTCTGCGGCAGTGGAAGTTGACACCGACTTTAGACTTTAGCTCGGCTATGACTCGTATTTAAGGCGCGTAAAACCTGTTTGCTGGCCTTTGAGCTAGTCGGCAACAAACAACGACAACCCACACACAACACTGCCGGCATGCCTGATAATGACAATCACCCAGCAGTAGCGGTGGCGCTGATGTCGGCGTTAGCAGTATTTACAACTGCGCTAACGTTCAGCGCGACTGCGGCGGCGAAGCTTACTGCGCTGCTGCGCAATAACGCTTGCTGCTTATGCGTTAGCATACACACATTCACACATGCAAATCGTACGTCCGCAATTTGCGTGTTTAATTG